AAATTTTATTCAAAATTAGAGCTAATACATTATTTAATTAATTAATTAAAACAGAAAATAAAGAAGTCTAGCACTTTATTCATTTCCTCTACCAACAGAAGCCGAAAAGAAATTCAATAAACGGACATGAAACAACAAAGACATTCAACTTGATTTTAAACAAGAATTTTCCATATAATCAAGCGCGTGTATATTGACCTTTGTCATCGAATATCAATACAGATTGTGATCCAATATCACTTACTAAACAATTAAAACCTATAAAAATATACTTTTCAGTGGCGTAGCTAGGAATTTTTCACCATTGGGCCGTTTTCCAACTAAACTATTCTGAGGATTGGACAACAATGGGCAATTAAAAAACAATTGGGCCACAATTTTTTAAAACTTATTGCCATCACAAAAACGAATATTTATTGAAGAGAGGCTCGTGTTTCTCAAATTAAGAAGCGAGTTTACTACTGCTGGAGCTAAGAAAAATTCTGAAGATTCTTAGCCTCAATCGTTACTGCAGTTGAAAATTACTACGTAATATTCATTTCAAATAAAGAGACATAAATATCTTTTGATGGGAGCATGGTAGAGATATGCGGTGTTTACCATTGGATGGTGGAGGTAACAATGCAATAAGTCCTGTCTTATCAAATTTCTGGCACATTTTTTGAATTTTTTCCGATTTATTCAAAAAATATACGTTTTTAGATGGATCTATAGAGTAAACTTTCACCGCAATATAACAAAAAAGAAACTTTTCTGCTAATTTTATCAAAAAATTGCCTAACTTCTCGCAAGTAAATGCCAATGATGCATTTTGAACGGGTTCTAATAGTGCTCGACTGGTCCTGATTTACAGATCTTTGATCGATAGTTCTAATGGATATCTCAAAATTGAAAATCCATTGTGATGATTTCATGCTCTAGATGAATTTCTATAACGTTCAAACCAAAACTCTCTGAAAAACATATCAGAAAATCTGCAAGAAACGATTCGATGCACCTCCGTTTTTTCGAATGGTGAATTCCTACTTACCAGGGAACTACTTCAACTGATTCCGAGCTTTCGGCTTCATCTTTTGGCTACAGGTAGGCCTCAATGAGAGTACGAAAATACTAGAAGCGTTCGTGTCCATGACTCTTCCTTCCCGAGATATGGTCAAAACTATGTCATAACAAAAGGGATTTTTCTCATTATTGAAAAGTTTCTTTTTTACATCAAAATAGTTTTAGATTGTTTTTTATACAGCCAACCCTAGTAATAGCTTGTTTTCTGCAATTTACTGTAGAAAACTGTGATCTTATAATAAAATATAAACCAGGCCGAACAATTGTTCTATCAACACATCATCTTGATGAAGCTGATCTATTAAGTGATCGTTTAGCAATTATTTCTTCCGGTGAATTACAATGTGTTGGTACAACAATGTATTTAAAACGAAAATATGGTGAAGGTTATAATTTAATTATTGAATTAACATCAAGATCAAATGAAAATGAACTTAAACAAGATTTTCGCAATCCAATAATGAACAGAAATTCTCCTTTAAATTCTATACATTTTGTAAAATTAACTGAATTTTTTCGAAAATTTATGTTTGATATTCGTGTAAAAGAACAACATGATGATCAAATAATTTATGTTCTATTAGATGATGCTGAACATACAAAAATTTTTCCAACAATGCTTGCTGAATTTGATCAAAATAAAACAAAATATCATATAAAAACTTATGGTTTATCAAATTGTAGTCTTGAACAAGTATTTCTTAGTGTTGGTGATGAAATAAAACGACCTGAAGATTATGAACGTTTATCATGTTGGAAAAAAATTCAAAATCGTGTGAAAAAGTTCTTTGGAAAAAATAAAGAGAAAAAAAATCGAAAGAAATAATGATGAACAAATACAAATGAATACAAAATTAAGTGGTAAGATTATTATTAAATAATAATAAGTATTCATTCATTTTTATTTTAGATGAATGAAATTCATATACACCTGAACGATATACAGGTATACATTATATAACTACACAATTAAATGCTTTAATTATAATGCATTATCCTGCAATGATCAATTCTGATATTCACCATCGATTTTATACGCAATGAATTATAATGCATTATTATTAGATGTTAGATACTCTATTATTCACTATTGACTTTTGTTTTTATGCATTACATTGCATCATAATAAAATGACATATTCCTTTATGCCTTATTGAATATATTTTAATGCACTATTATTAGATGATATTATGTTGTCTAATATTGATTAGGGTTACATGAATTTCGGCCCACGAGTTTTTTGTCCCGGACTTTCGACCCAGGCCGAAATTCCGGTGACTTTTCGACCCGGGCCGAAAGTCCGAAAGGAATTTCAGACCGAAACTTGATTTATCTAATTAGTTTTATAAATAATTAGTAAACTTCATGGCGCTCAGCACTACGCACTTTCAAGAAAACGTTGCGCTCGGCAGTATGACATGTTGCTCAGCAAGATAACATAGTACTCAGCAGTTAGACATGATGTCTGGCAAGATGACATAATGCTTAGCAGTACGACATTGTGCTTGACAGTATGACGTAGTGC